GAGGGTGATCGATCAGATGTGGGTTTTTCTTTCCATTGGCAATTTGAGATACATTCTTGTACTTTGATTCTGTTTACTCAGTTACTATTTCTTATTCACAAATTAGCATATGTTATTACCGATTTTACATGTTCAATACTTCAATCAATGAAATATATATATATATATATATATATAATATTTTATGAATTAAAATAAATAAAATTTACTTTTAACATATTCTAAATCATAAGGTTTTTTTATTATCATAATCATAAGGGTTTGTTAGTGGCTAGGAATGGGATATAACAAAGTACCTTTATCATAATGTAATCAATTGTTTAGTGCATCAATAAAATATGATTTTCTTATCCTATTGTCTATCTTATTATCTTGATACAATGTATTTTTTATCCTAAAATTGAATTAAGTTAGAAAAGTACATGATAGGATAATCATTTTCCCTTCTTGTCTCCCACCACCCTTGCCTTCATTATCACAACTATCACCAACCATTGTCACTATCACATCACTATTATCATTATCGTCGCAATCGCTATTGTCACATCATTGGAACAACCATTCTCATTATTATTGTGGCCATCACCATCAGTATTGTCATTTCATTACTATGACCACAACCATAATCACCTTGTCACTATTGTCATTATCATTATCATTGTTGACATATTGTCACTACCACCATTATTTGATTGATGTTGTCATCATTATCATCATCTTTGTCACTATTATCATTGTCACCACAAACTTGTAATTGTCATTATTATCGATCACTACTACTATCACTGTTACTGTCTTTATCACCATTGTGCATGACCACCAACTACCATTGTTTGGCTTAAATCAAATATATAATATAGGATAACATAATAATGTTATCTAAGATGTATTAAACATTATATATGATTGAAATTTATCTTGCTCTTATGTTGTCAAATTTTTATTTTACTCTTATCTTATTTTATCTCATCATATTTTTACTATCAAACAAGTTTTAAGGAGACTCTTTAGTAATTAATTGACTCAATAAGTATAATTTTGGTTCATTGAAAAAAATTTAATATGGACATAAATTATATTAGATTCCATCTTAAAATCAATTGGCACTCAGTAAAATTGTTCATCAGAGATATGTAAGTTATGTAAGATTTTGACTTGAGGGGGGGGGGAGCTTCAAGAACCCAATAATTCTCTTTCTTTTTCTCAAATTCTTAAAGGAAGATCTCTGAGACTTGCAGTTGAGAATTTCGTGGTGTAGCTACGGAACTTGAGTTGTTGGAGCTCGGAGCTCATTTCCTTCTCCTTCTCCTTCTCTTCTTCTACGTCAAAGTAGTCCAAAGTTCTCCATTCTCTTCTTCTTCCTCCATAAAGTAGTCTAGAGTTCTCCATTCTCTTCTTCTTTTTCCTTGGAGATCTTGGAGTCAAGGTAAGGAAAGCTTTCCTTGATTGTGTCTTGTGAAATTGATTTGCCAAACCCTTAATTTCTAAGTTTTGTTGTTGGAATTGTGATGGCTGAGTGATGGTTTTTGGGGGAAGCTAGTTTGGTTCTTGTGACATATTCACAAAATAACTATTCATAGAATCACAAGAAATGGAAATTACTAAATATTCGTGCCAAATCCCCGACAACGATGCCAGAGACTTGGTGAAGATTTTTCACTCTTGATAAGTAGACCAAGTCTCATTGTAGTAATTTGATATCGTCCTCAAGGATTTGGTGATACTAGTAATTTCCTACCTTGTTTATGGAGAACATGGATGAAATATTAATTTAAATTTATAATAAAGCAAATAAAAGCAATAGTACAAATTTAATAGAAAACTTTATATGAGAAATAGATTGGATTCAAATGTACTTTCTAACTCCTTTAATCTTCATCAAATAAATATGATTCCAATTATATTACTTCCACGTTCAATAATTAACTCAACCAAATTCCTCAAAATTGAGTTCTAAGGTGATTAATCATAAACATGATTCCTCTATGATTTAAGATTAACACCTTGCATTAAGAACGATAACTTGAACAAAAATGGCTAACAAAATCAAGTCTATTCCTAGAACAAGAGATTGTTAGGTGAGTGATTCAGTTTAGGCTTTTGAAAACGTTTACCAACAGAGTTCAAAAACCTAATATCATAAAATGGGTGATCAAACTGGATTAACCATTAAAAGAAGAATCAAACACAAGTAATATAACTGAATATCATATAGATCTAAGAATAAATAGAGTTAGTAGTTACACTAAATCCAACCCAAGAGAAATTAGCAGCTCATGGTGAGGGCCATAGCAACTAAAAAGATGAGATTACACAATAGAAGAGAAGAAGTGAAGATGGGTCCTCGTTCCCAAGCAATCCAATCCTCAAATATGATCTTCATGTTCTACTGTTCTCCTCACTACTAGAAAAATAGTATTTCACGTCACTATATTTACATTGGTTCCTTAAAAATCGATGTAAAATAAATATGCGGTGGAAATTTTGTAAATAACTTGAATATATAAGAATATTTACATAAGTTATTGTAGAAAACGATGTAAATATAAACAATTCTACATCGATTATATGAGTGACCGATGATGTAGAATTGTAATTAGTGAGCTATTCTACATCAAGTTTTGTGTTGACCGATGTAGAAGGGGTTTAGAAATTCATCCCCGCTCCCACGCGCGACCACTTAGATGCTCACCCTCTGAAACACTCAAACGCACTCTGGAACGCTCCCTCTCACACACTGTTGAACGCTCCTTCTCACACATTCTGGAACGCTCACTCTCCCAAACTCTGAGACCCAAACCCTCTCAACACTCTGAAACCTAAAACACTCTCTACATTCCAGGCTCGTTGATCTTCAACAACCCTCCAAGGAAGCATTGAAGCCTTATTCGATGAACGACAACGTAGTGAAGCCATTTTAGGTGCATATCTTCATTTTTTGTTTTGCTTGTTTTTGCCTCTCTCATCTTGTACAAATGCGGGTGATAATATTTTAGGGTGTGGAGGCACTCCCAGAGGAGGTTTCCGGAAACGCATTCGTCGTATTGTGCAAGTCCGTTGCGAAGGTATTTGTTTCATTTTTGAAGCAAGTGTGTTTGGTTTAAAAAATTGAGAAGTTTGGGTTTTTCTCCCTCTTTTGGTTATGGGTGGGGTGGGGGTGCGTATTTATATGAAAGGTTTGTAGGCATGATTTTGGTTGAAAAGGTGCAAGCGAATGGTTCGAATGCTGATTGCGCATTCTATTTCAAGCGGCTTAATTTGAGTGCAACTCGTTCGAATTGGAATTTTGTATGTCTTTCATCAGATTCTTCTACATTTTGTTGGTGAGAGGGGTTGTGAAAAGTGATAATTGGGGAATGGGAAATAATTATTGGTGTTGGTGTAGGTTTTAGCTTGATTTAGCTGGTGGGATGCATGCGATTGTGTCATTTGTGTGTTAAAAGAAACTGAAATGAAAAGCAATGTGATGGGTGTTCTGCATTCTTGGCAATGGATGAACGGTTATGTGCTTATGAGTGGGTGGATCGGCCAATGCACTCTAATGGCCATTGCTAATCATTTAATGAACCTCCGAGGATCAGAGTGTTCATTTTTTTTTTCTGTGCATAGGTTTCTAACTTGTGTAAGAAGTTGTTGATTTTAATTGAACATTAGGTTCATTGTAAGGCTAAATATTTAACATTGAGGACTGCAGATGAAACAACTTAAACATTTTGCACTTTGGGGCGGATTAAAATTTTGTGATTTAAAAGCTCAAACAATTAAATGTGCTTGTATTTAAAAGCTCAAATAATTGTTTGTGACTACTGCATGTCTTCTGTATGTTTGCGAAATTCATTCATATTGATTTCTTCTTGTAGTGATTACTATGGACCAGATGTTAATTTAAAGAAGTTGAAGGATTTTCATCGCCGCAGATTGCAAGTTCTTGTTGAAGTTGGTCCAGATTTGCTTGCTTTTGAGACCATTCCAAACAAACTTGAAGCTCAGGTCTTTTTATTTTTTTGTTTGCTTTTTTCTTTTTCCAATAAGCATGTTTCATAGAAGTATACCTTGATGTAATTTCTTAAATAAAAATTACTGCAATCTATTTATAGCACAAAATTATAATTCTTCTACTCTATTATTCATATTCTTCTCTCACGTTTCCATATTGATCCAGAAGTCAAACGCCCAGCTTTAATCCTTATTTGAACTATGAAGAAATAATCAAGTGTTGTAAGGACCCTGTTTGGAAATCAAAACTAGCTTGGAACTCCTTTACAACAAATTCATTCCACTGTTGAAAAAGGTAAATTCATTTTTATTTGGAAGTGTTTAATGACTATATCTTAATTCCTCTGTGTTTTGCATTTCTAGTGCTAGGAATGAAATAGAACTGTTGAAATGTTTATGCAATCATAGAAATTAAACAGCTGCTTGAAAAAAGAAATCCTCACAGAAATTGGACTAGCAGGATAGAAATTACTAGCAACCTTTTTCATATTTGTCTTAGACAGTTTATTAGGCAAATTTATGTTACCCTTTTAACTTGAAATTTCATTGCTAAGCCTAAATTAAAATGGAGACAATGCTAATCAAAGGTATATTTCATTTCAAGATATATATGAATTATTACAACGTGAAGCAATGCTTAACATCTCAATTATACAATTATGGATGTTGTAAGTACACAATTATTAGTGCCATTATCTATTTAATTATGATTTCCTTCACTATTAATTTTTTCTTTTGTATGTATTTTAGATATTTGAATCGTAAAATTGAAGAACTCAATCATGGTGACTTGTATGGATTTCTTGAGCCTCAATCAATTCAAAAATCCGGGAATAAAAAATCGGAGTCTCAAAATTATATCATTGAAAGGTTACGAAATTCACCAAAGCAAATTTACTTTGCTCCTTATGTTGATCAGTAAGTGCATCTTTGTGAACTCCATTTAATTTGTGTATTTATGTATCTATTGTATAACTAATTGTGCCTAAATGTAGAAATCATTGGCAATTATTGGTTCTCTGTCCGGCAAAGAATGTTGCTGTTTGGTTTTGTTCTTTGCATCGTAAGCCAAATGTTCAAATAAAAAATTTAATTAAAAGGTAAAATTTAGTTTGTAACATGTATTTATTTTATACTCGCTGTTATAAATTTTAACCATGTAACTTACATTCATTTATTTTCTTAGTGTTATGGTTGTCTATAATATCATGGGGGGTAGATCTACAGCGCAACCAAAGAACCTAGATTGGATTTATCCCATGGTAATTGATTTGTAACCTCAATATGCCTAAAATGTTTTTTTATTAGCTTAAATTAAAAATTACTTATACAACTCAATCTAATTTTCATTTTAGAGTAATCAACAACAAGGAGGTTACGAATGTGGATATTATGTGATGAATTGGATGTTAGACATAATTGAAGGGGAAGTAACAAATGATTGGATTGAGGTAATGTAATTCTTTTACTTTTACTAACATTAGTTAATTCATTTACATGATTTTTATGTAACTAATATATTATACTGTATGTTACAACTTTTTGATGATGTTGCACCATTGCCGAAAACCAAATTGGAAGACATTCGGAGTCAATAGGCAACCTTCTTTTCAGAAAAATTTACAAATAGAGCATGATTTTTAGTTTAATTAGGATTGTTTACAATATATCTCCAAAACAATTTTCTGCCTTTATTTTTAAGTTTATTTTCTTATCCGAAAATAAAATAAACTAAGTAGTTAAAGCTTGGTTTTCATGTTTTGGTCAAGAGGATCTATTTGTAATTTGTGCAAAATGTTATTCTGTAGCTTGTTAGCATGCCTTAGAGTGGAATCTTTTGAAATAGTAGCTAAATGCATGATTTGTCTATAAATCAGCATTCACATTTACTTTGTTTGAATTTATTGACTACTACAACTTGAGCAATTGACTGATATGAAGATTTCGAATTTCTTTACTTTGAATGATATTGATGCATGTACAATTTCTTTACTTTGAATGATATTGATATTGACTGAAATTCAGAATGCACGTGGCATCATGGATATTCTTGCAGAAATGCTCAATTCAGATTTAGAATTTCTTTACTTTGAATGATATTGATGCATGCTCAATTTCTTTACTTTGTATTATCTGTTTTAGGCAATGCACTACAACACATTATGTATTTTTAATTTTTAACTGATATACATATGGTAGTTAGTTTTGTGTTTCGTTGTTTCTTTAACCCAAAAACATGATAGATGTAGCTTATGGAAAGAACAAATTTGACTCATGAAGGTGCAACACTAAATCAAGTTTTCAAGAATGGAAAAAACCATGTCATGTCATGTCATTTTTTTTAAATCCTTAGGCTATGTTTGGATATCTAATGATGGGTGGAATGGAAAAGATGGGATGGTATGGAATAACATTACAATACTAGTGTTTTGATATTTTGTGATGGAATGGAGTAATGTTTCTATTTTCTTTTTTTGGGAATAAAATGGAATTGAAAGTTATAGCTTTATTAGAGTAGTTATTGTATCTGATAACCTCTAATTGAGGGAACTGGAACTCAATAATTAGATTTAGAAATTATACTATGAATGAAATATGTTTATACAGGTAACCCAGAAAAAATCTAAAAAAATAATTGAATTTTTTTTTAAATGCAATCTACATCGATTTCAGTAGAACCGATGTAGATTTGAGTACTTATCTACATCGGTTGTTAGGATAACCGATGTAAAATTTTGGTCAAATCTACATCGATTTTACTTACAACCGATGTAGATTTGAATGCAAATCTACATCGGTTTTTCTAACAACCGATGTAGATTATGCACAAATCTACATCGGTTTTAAAACCGATGTAGAAGTATTTATATTACTAAGTCGCCCTATTCTACATCGGTTTTATAACCGATGTAGATTACCTTCCAGAATCGATGTAGATAATACATCCTGTAGTAGTGCCTAGAGTTTCTTTCTTTATTTTTCTTATGTTCCCCTTCGTCGTTCATTTTTTTCTCTCTTTAATCCCTTAAATATGTTCTGTCCAAAATAGGGGAAAGTTGGGATTTTTATGTTCTGTCCAAAATAGGGGAAAGTTGGGATTTTTAACCCAAGGCTGCAACTCTGGATGTGTGGCTGGGGCTCTAGAAAGTACTTCAAGACGAAGGAAACTCCAAAGTTGTAGCTCTGGAATTGGGGGTCGTAGCTGTAAAATTCTGGATTGCCCATAATGTTCTATTTCCCAAGGATGGAGCTATGGCTTCATGGTAAAGCTTCAACTCTCTAGAATGCTTCTTTTTGGTTAAGGTTCTGTGGCTGCAGCTTTGGCTTTGGAGTTATAGCCTTGGATTTCCAACTTCATCAAAATCTACACAAAAGAGAAATATTTTTAGTCAAAGAAACTACACTCTTGTAACTCCTTAGATTAATCTTAATTTATCTATTTAGGGGTCAAATACAACCAAAATTACTTACATCTCTCCCAAAAAGAGTGCCAAATCAAGGATAAAAATATGTAATTAGAGCACTTATCATGACACCCATAAGAGGGGGTTTGATGAATGTTTGAAATCTATGGTTGCATGCCCTATTTTGTGCAAATCTTCAGTTATTTTTTTAGGCAAAAATATACTTTTTGTCCCTTATATTATTTATTAGGTTCAATTTAGTCACATTTTAATTAATTGAATCAATTTAGTACCACATCTTTAAAATGTATCTCAATGTTTGATTTTCCGTCTCCTCCGTTTAAATACTTAACGGATGACATGTGTCATGTTATCATGCCACATGGTTAGACATTGTAGACCCCTAAAATTGTCCGGGTTGGAAATAAGACTCGAAGACTCTCAAAGACCGAAGGAAAGTCAGCCGGAAGGACTCCTGGAAGACCCTGGATGACCCTAGGATGATTATTCGTAGGTTTAGAAGTCTTAGAGTAGCTTAAAATAAAGATGTGGGAGGATTGAAGCTCAATACGGCCTCCTAGAAGTTCAGTACGGCCGTACTGAACAATTTAAACTACAATACGGCCGTACTGAAACCAATACGGCCATACTGAAGTTTTTGAACTTCAGTACGGCCGTACTGAAACCAATACGGCCGTACTGAAGTTTTTGAAACTTCAGTACGGCCGTACTGAATTCAATACGGCCGTACTGTAGTTCAAATCTTCAGTACGGGCCGTATTGATGTCAGAGGCCGTACTGCGCCTCACTCCTATATATAGGACGTCATTTGGACGTCATTACACACATTTCCACACTTCTTGGACTCTCTTCTTGAGTATTCTGGGGTTTTTGAGCAGTGTTCTGCCCTAGAATTCTCTCCGAGAGCCGATCCGACGAAGTTCTTGAGTTCTGAGCATTTAGCTTGAGAATTCGAACTAGTCGAAGGGAAATCTTTCTGATTTCCATAGTAAAAATTAATCTTTAGGGAAGGAGCGAGCAAGCGTGTAGTGGGAAGGAGCGCCAAAAAGCCTCCTAACGTCTGTTTAAATATATAAAAGCACGCTTCAAAGGTTTCTTTTTCAAATCCCTTCTTTTACCGCTTTCTGATTGTTGCATTGCATATTTAGAATTTTCATCATGTAAATATTCCGCTTATAATCGTTTCTAATAAATAGGGGTAATTTAGTAATTTTACACTGTTATTTATGAAATAATCCGTCATAGGGAACCCGAAAGGGGCGTTGTGGGGTGCTAACACCTTCCCCGCACGTAACCGACTCCCTTACCCAACTCTGGTTGTAATGGCCAAGGTTGATTTGCGAAAATCAATTGCCTTATCCCTTTTTCCAATGTTTTGAGTAAAACATTGGTGGCGACTCCAAGAACCCTTCTTTTTGCGAAAACCACTAATCCATGGAGGGTCCCGCTTGGGATTAACATGGATTGGTGAATCATTTAATAAAATTGTTAGTTCGATGAGGTCTCAGTTTGAGAATAAGTCGTTCTAACAATCCATCATTTTTCAAAACTTTAAAAAGAGTCCAACCATCGTCGCGAATGCCAAGGTCCGTTTCGGCGGGTGGCGACAGACATCATGACACGTGGCACGATAACATGACACGTGGCATGACACGTGTCAAATCTGTTAAGTATTTAACGGGAGAAACGAAAAATTAAAAATTGAGATACATTTTAAAGATGTGGGACTAAATTAATTAAATTAATTAAAGTGAGACTAAATTGACACTAATAAATAATATAAGGGACGAAAAATGTATTTTTGCCTTTTTTTTATGTATTTTGGTTATTTAGATGAGTTTCTTTTGTTTAGATTTGAGATTAGAACTTGTAGGAAGCTTGGGATGGAATGGAGAGGTTTGAAAACTCCAAAATCATGAAAAACATAGATGGTCTCTGTCATGAAACAACTAAGCCGTTTATAAATGACTAAGAAAAATTGAAAAATGAGAAATGGGTGTTTCTGGAAGGAATTAGAAATAATTGAGCGGTTTTGCATATTAGAATTAGGTGTGGCTTTGGAAGAAAATGGCTGAGCGGTTTAAAAATGATTGAGCGGTTTAGTGCTTTTCAAATTTAATTTTTTTTCTTCATAAAAGTTGTAACCTAGATATTAGGAGGTCTAAAACTCCAATTATGACCTTTTTAGTGAGTAAAGGATGAAGTTGTCAGCATTTAGGCAAACTGTTGCAATTTTTACAATTTTTAACATGGTAGATGATAGAATTAGAGCTTGAGTTCTTCATGAAAGTTGTAAAAAATCTTCTTGTCTTTCATATGAGATAAGGATGAACATGATAGGAATAGTAGAACTTATTATGTGTCATTTTATGAGAAGGTTGTCAGTGTAAAATAAGTGATTTTAATAAGTTGTATATTGATACATTTTGTATGATGGTGAATTTGGTGAACATGAATAGAATATTTGTGTCTATTGCATGTTGCATGATGTAGGATGATGATAATAAGCATTGGAATGCTATCTTTGTGTAGTTGGAATGGTGATGAGCATTGATATGCTATGTGTGATTCATATGCTATTGTTGAATGAATTGTGGAGCATTGATATGTTATTATTGTATGAACCATTAAGCATTGGTATGCTATTCTTAGTTGAGGTGTTAAACATTGGTATGCTATACATGATTGATGTTATCAATCTTTATATACATTGACTAGATGTGATGTATATAGTAGATGCATGGTGAGGTGTAGATGCTAAGAATGCGATGTGGCATTTAAGCATGATGGCTAACTTAGGACTTGAGGAGAGGAAATTATTTTGAAAACTAAAGATCTCACATAATGTATCTTGGAGTGGTGCTCGGGTAGGTCACTATTTGGAAAACCTTTATTGAGTAGGTGTGCATCTTAGAGTAGGTTTTAAAATGTGTTAAGTCTTCTCCAAGTTCTTAGTTAATGGTTGAGTAAGGTAGGAGGTCGAGGGCTACAACCCTTAACCAAGTACCTGGAAAGGTTACGTGGTTCCTTAAGGATAATCAATGGTTGAATTTCATATGTGACTTAGTAATGCATGTCAAGGTCATGGTAAGCTTATACCTAGTTGTACTACTCCTGATAGTGGGATCAAACTTTCCTAGTGTAAGTGATGAGACTTGAGAAACCAGAGGAGGGATTGATATCTCATTTTGTTGTGATCGAGTTGACGCTTCAGACGTGAAAACGATTGGGTTGGTTTGGTAGGGTGGAAATCACTTAGAGTGTTCATGTTGTTAGGAGATCTCCGTAGGTGAATGCGTGATGACACATTGGTTGATATGCTTGTATATGATGTATGTTGAGGTGTGTTCATATGCTTTGTTGATGTTTTGTGGGACATGATTAGATGAGGTACATGTTTGCTTCGGGTGTGTTAGCTTTCATGTATGATATATGGCGTGATGTTATATATTATAGACTTGTTTTTTATATGTACATGTTTCCAAACTCTAGCTTATCCTTTCTGTTTCTATGGTGGTTTGGACTACGATGATCATACGTTGTTTGAGAGAAGATTAGAGCTAGGCTTGAGGAGCTATTGCAGACAGATGTGATCCTTTTTATAGCGATACTATTGATGTACCTTGTATAAGTGTGCTCGACCAACACAAGGACGTAGGATTATTTGGAATTACTATATGCATATATATATATATATATATATATATATATATATATATATATGTGTGTGTGTGTGTGTGTGTGTGTGTGTGTGTGTGTGGATGTGTGTGTGTATGTGTGTGGATGTGTGTGTGTGTGTATTCCTTCCCTTAATCATATTCGTTCTACTAATTTAGTTTCCACCGTTAATAGTAGTAGTAGTAATATTAGTGATTCCACAAAGTGTGACAATCACGATAGGTCATTACAAGCTACACTTAAAGAATTGAGGAAGATGATGTTAGACTTCTCATATATATATATATAAGCTACACTTGTAGATGTGTATATCAAATCTGGTGATGCTTATCAGAATAGGTGAATCATGAAGATGAACTATATTAGATTGTGTTTTAATATCAATTAGTACTAAGTAAAGTTGTCTAATAAATATATAAGTTACACTCAAATTGAAACAAACCAAGTTAAACTTCCTAACAAACTAAAATAGAAATTTGAGTTCCGTATCTCCCTTCTCTATATGAAAACTATAAAATAGCAAATATCTTATGCATAGTATGTGTAATTTTTAATTTAATTTTAAATAAGAATTAAAATTTATCTAAGAAAAATGTAAAAATAAAAGACTTTTTTTCCATAACCAGTTCCAATTAAAATCTTAGGAAATTTCTAGATGGAAAGAAAAGCAACTGTATAAAATTGTTTTTTATTCATAAAATTGTATAAATTTCTAGATATATAAAAAAACTGTAGTTAACATATAAATAATTTTTTTAAAATTAACATACATTTAAAATATTAAAGAATGTTAATTAAGAACATTTTCTTTTCCAAAAGCCGGAATAATCTGGAAACAAAATCCTTCGTTAAAAGGAAGAGGTCTCAATCCCACTTGTTGACTCTTTCTTCTCGTTAACGAAATGCTATTTTATAAAACAATTAAAAAAAAAAAAAGTTACAACTAGTCCTCCCACGTAACATTCTCCCGGGAATATAGAAATGCTAGCGTGTCTTGAGTAATGTTATATTTTTCTTATATTCTTATTACTTCCTCGATATTTTATATATATAAAAAAACTGTCGAATAAAAATATATTAATATAATATAAACATAAAAACACTTGAAATTTTTAGGAGGACTAATAAATAATATTATTTAAAAACTTAAAATTATACATATATCATGACACATACATGATACACATATGAGAACATCTTCATATACTTCAAAGTTAATCTTCGCATAAGCACCTCTACCCCTCTCATTTCTGTCATTTTTATTTGCATTCCCTTACTAGCCTTTCTCACTTCTCTCTCTCTCTCTGCCATGGATATTTCTTTGCTGTTCACAGTTCTCTTCGCAATCTTGATCTTCCCGATGCTCTTCAATCCGAGGGCAACTGCCATTGAAGAACTTGAGTGTACGTTAGCAAATTTCATATTAATGGTTAGAATTTATTTGAAATGACCAAATTACAATCAACTTATTTAAGTTTTATAAAAAGAAAATGTGAACTTTTTAATTTAAATATTAACATTATATGGTCTAAATTTATTTCTCGCTTTAATGTTGAAATGTTTCTCTTGCAAGATATGCTCATGTACTCACCTCCATACATACATTTATTTTATTTTTTATAACCATGTTGTATATTATTAAGAATATTTATCCATTTTATTGATCTCTTTTCAATTATACATAATATTCAAATTTAAAACTTGTTTAAAGAGAAGAGTTCAATATCATACTTATATATATATATAAATATATTTTTTAATATTTTTATTTTCATATTTTTGCATATAGATTCAGTGGTAGAGGGAGAGAAAATGGATTTCAGCGAGTTGAGAAAAGCAGTGGAAGAGGTCGAAGTTGTGGATGGTCACTCCCACAACATAGTTGCCTCTGAGTCCAACTCTGTCTATGGTTTCATCCAGGCCTTTACTGTGGGAGCATTTGGTGATGCTGAAGCCTTTGCTTTTGCACAACAATCTCTATCCTTCAAGGTTATTTTCTTCCTTCTTATTGCTTTTTCCATGCATGTGCTCCTTCTACACCTTAATAACATTTGTTTTACATAGTATTTGGTCAGAGGAGAATGAAGGAAAGAGAAGAGATTTTTAAAACTTTTCTTGTTTTGGTTCAATTTTTAGGAAAAGAAGGAGCAAAAATATTCAAAAATATTTTTATTTGTTATTAAATTTAAAACTATAAAGATACAAAAGTAAATTAATTTTTAAAATCTTATTTCATCTTCCCTTTTGAACTAAACAAGAAAATAATTACCTCCTCTCTTCTCTCAACTAAACAAAATTTCTAATTTTTTTTCTTCTTGTGCCTTCCCCTTGCCTCCCTTCTTTTGAATCACGGACCATAAGGATCTATAAAAAGTTTTAAAGATGTTACACATTAAAACAATTCTGCAAATATTTGTGAGTACTACCTTTGATTCTTTCATATATTTTATTTATAAATATATTATTAGTATGAAGTATCCATTAATTTTGATTAAAACTAATTTTTGTTGAATAACCTTTAATGAGTTATCCTCTTCTAACCACGTTTTCTTTTCTATATACATAAGATTCAAATATGAAACTTTACTTAACAAGAATAAGTCTAATTTCATCAAACTAAAGACTTATTAGTAATTCTTTTATATATTAAATTCAATACCGAGAAAAGAATAAATCCTTTCAAATATAAATATATATATATATAGAGAGAGAGAGATCCGTTTACTCAAGGAGTAAGTCTAAATAGACTTATTCCATTCAATGACTCATGTTATTCTACATCAAATTTTAACGATTCAACCGTTGAATTTAAAGTTCTTAATACGTAGATCAAATCTGTAAATTTTTAAAAAATTTGATATCCAGTTGATACTTCGTTTCATTAATTCAAATCAATGTATAAAATAATTTTATTATTATCCGTCAATTTGATACTTTGTTTTATTAATTCAAATCAATATATATATATATATATATATATATATATATATATAACTTAGAAGAGTGAGTAAATATTCACCTTTTTTTAATCTGTTTTAATTATATAAAACAACGATATATGTTACTAACACAACTTTCAACATACTCTCTTAAATATACTCTTTATTATTAACCGGATTTTATAAGAAATCACAAATGTAAGTAAATTTTACTTCTAATTTAATGAATGTCACTTATAATTTTATTATTTTAAAAAATAAATAATGATAAAATATGTTATATTTCTTGACGTTTTCATACATCCGGTTTTAGCTGTAAATAGTTATTTACAATCAAATTTATAAATTTAAGGTCCGTTAGGAGTGATTTTAATACTTCACAAAGCTTAAAAACTAAAACCAATTTAATTTTTTTAGTTTTAGTTTATTTTGTTTTCATATAAGTTTATCCAGTTATAGTTGTAAATAGTAATTTACAATCAAATTTATAAATTTAAGATCCCGTTTGGAGTGGTTTTAAGTTTTAACTTAACAAAGTTTTAAAAATTGTGTTACCCTCTATCCCACATACATAATATAATAATTATAAAAAGAAAATATTATATTTGAATAACTTCAATTAAAGATAAAGAGTATCACGTTTGAAATTCAAATAAATTAAATCAATACTTAACTATTACAAACTTTAAGGAGAATACGTTTTAAGGAAAGTAAATTATAATTCCTAAACAGAAAACATGAAACATAATTTAAAATCCTCGATATCACAGGTATAAGAGCTCTCTCCCTTCGATCAACTAAACTCTTCCAGAAAAGAAACCTTCAACAATAACATATAAACACCCACGAGAAAAAAATAGGGAAGTGAGAACATATCTAGCTCCGGCTACCAGTGTAGAATAAGACCGAGTAGACACACACAAACAATATATAAAACTAATAATTAAATTTCTCATCAATCCATACAATAATTTTAACTCGGTTTATATCTCATTCCATCACGATATTAATCAAAATATAGTTTAAACATTAGCAAAATGTTTTATGCATGTGACGCCAGTGAAAATACTTTTTCCTACCCGAAGATTGGGTAGTTTAGGTGTACATGTCGAGTCAAGTCATCACAATATTTTCAGTAGAAAGATATACTACATAGGTCTCATTGGGATAACTAAGCTGTACAAGATACACCTTATGCACACAATGGGCAAGACTGGGGCTTCCCTAGCCAAAGTATTCACAAGGACTAATCTCCAAGCTTTTACACAAGAGAGCATTTCTTAGCGGTGTATTCTGTATCATACCCATCACAAAACACAAATGCACATGATGCATGACATTCAAAACTCAATACATTACTACAAAAATTCATTCATAACACATCACACTTTATCACTCACAATTCATCACATATCACTTTCCGTTATCACAATTACTTATATACACAAACAATTCGCACTTACAAGTATATAAGAAGTAGGTTTAAACAAAGAATCGTGCCTAACAAGACACACCCTACGCCTAGTGCATGCGAGGCCATGAGCCTCTGGAAGGAAATCACACCTGGTGTGATCCTTCCCACAACCAACGAGATGCATCCAAAGGACCTTTGAAGCTTTCGTGCCCAACGTGACTACGCTCACGCCTTACATTAATAAGGCTGCAAGTATTTTGGAATTTCACGCCCAACGAGACCAAACCCACACTTGACGTGATCGAGGTAAACCTTAATATCCATAATTCATGATTTTTAAAGGGATTTCTACAGTCTAATTAATTCATGTTTTAGTAGTCATGCAATTTATAATTATTATAAATTAGCTCCAACCTATGGGTTTAGATACATCAACTCCGGGAATCCATAGACACTCATAGATTCATGATTACGTTATAACTAACACATCAATACACACATCTATCATACACAGAGCATTCAATTTCATACAGGTTCACAAAAATGATCAGGTTTAATCCCTTTTCAACATACATACACATCATAGGAATTAGGGGTCAATCTTGCTACCCAACAGTTATATCCTACACCCTAGAGTGAGGTTCTTACTCCCTTCTTATCTTGATCAGTTAGCTTCAAGACTTTGCTCTCCGAGTTTCTCTCCAATTGCCTCTGGTTCGCTTCCCTCTTCAGATCATAATGTACAGTTAGATTGCATGTAAGGTAGTAATGTACTTAAACAAAATCCTAACTTTCACCTATAACCATAACTAGTTAGTAAAAAGTCTAACTAATTAGCCTCATATATTTGAATTTAAAAAGATAATTAACAAATATTATCTTATCAAATCACTCAAAATATTTTAAATTCTAATTAATTAATTAGAAAATCTATTGTTAACCTATTTGAAAAGAGTGGGATATTACAAAAACTAAAACCAATTTTCAATTTTTTTTAATTTCTGTTTGCTTTCCTTTCAAAAAGTTTACTAAAGAAAAAATGTAAGGCTCTTCTCGTGATGTTGTGATGAGAGGATATGGAATAAGAGTTGAACATAAAATAAAATATTCAAGTTTTTACAGGCTAAACATAGACCGGACAATGACCAGATTAATTGGGTTAAAAAAACTAAAATTTAATTCATACTCAAAATTTAAAGTCCAAATCACACATTTTGTAACAGCCCAAGCAACCCGCATGAGGATATTGTCCGCTTTGGCCCACGGCCGCACGGTTTTGCTCTTGGCGATGACACGCATGCCACCCCAAAAGGCCTCCTCACAAGGAAGGTATCCACACCCATATATATGGCATGCTTCGTTCTCCTTCCTAACCGATGTGGGACTATATCCACCCCCCCTCAAGGGAGTCCAGCGCCCTCGCTGGCACACCG